TTTTAATTTTTGACTCATGTATTTTTAACTTGTTAAATTTGTGTCTTCTAGGCTACAACACTTCCATGATACATCTTCAAGGATATGAACATGTACAGCTAAGCACAATTGATAACAGTGCTTCTAAATTCCAAAATCAATCTCCATAATAGTCTATGTGTTCCCTATTGCCAAAGGGGCCTTTTAGAGTAGTGAGAGAGGATCTTCACCCTGAAACCTACAGCGTCCCTTTTCAGCAGGAAGTAGCTAAGAGAATACGCTGTCCCCTTTTCCTTCTGAATTAGGGTGAAGTCTCTCTCAGGGAGGAGTGGTAGGGAATGGCAAAAGACACACAGACAAAGGAGATTAATCAGAACTGGCTTTGACAAGCACTGTGGCAATTGGACAATTAAAACAGACTTTCAAGGGTGAAAAAAAAAAGAGGAACGAACTGGGGAGGAGAGCAGAGAAAATAGTGTAACAATGAATGAATGGAAACCCAAAATCTCTGTAAATGTTCATTAAAATTAATAAAATTTAATAAAAGTGAAATGATAAAAATGTCAATGAAATAGGATAAATATGATAGAACATACTATCATTTAAGCATAAATATTTTAATTCTGTATTATTCCTGTAACTTACATAAAAATTGTTATCTGAAATTATAGTACCTTTTCTCTGGTATCACTTTTAACTTGCTCATGTTGCGTTACATCATTCCAACATTGCAGATAACCTAAAAGAAAAATATGAACAAATATTAAACACACAAGGTCTGTTTTCTACATATATCATAAAAGTAATAATTGTTGTTAAATGCTTTTGAGTTGTAGATGACTCATAGTGACCCTATGAACAAAAGACACTTGTATAACTTTCTTCATTTCTCCAAGTTCCATATCAAACCATAGGGTTTCTGGAGACAAGCTATTTCGGAAGTGGATTCCACTCTTGCTTCCAAGCTTGTTTTAATCAGGGAGCTCCACCAAACACTGCATTACTGCATCTGAAACATCAGTTTCTCAGTCATAAAAAATTCTTAACATGGGCAGTGCAAGGTGGCACCAGAAAACAAAAAGGAATGTTCAAGTTTTTCCACCTTCTGCAAATAATGTGACTACTAAATTACTTAAAATCAGTGAGAATAATGTTACCAAAATCCTAGGAGATAACCTAGTACAAATTATAATCTAGCACTAAAATTTCTTTTTATACAATTCATGCTATCCCTCATTACTGTAATCCTCCTTAAAACACTCAAAGACACCAGTAGCATTCAATGTCTCTAGTTCTTATTACATTGATACAGCATTTACACTCACGTAAAATAGATGACTTTTTCTATATGAGAACATTTTTTTTACTGCTGGTTTACTTACAAAGTTTGTATACATTGTTTTTCACACTGGATCTTTTCTATTTGCTTCACCCATCCCACCTTCCACCCATCAAATTGTGATAAACCACTTCTGCCCCCCCATCCTCACCGCTGTGCTCTCACCCTTCTTCCCCTTGGATCTTCATACTCATTCTAAAATAATGGGCTTATACAGTATTTGTCCTTATGGGACTGAGTTAGTTCACTTGACATAATGCCCTGCAGTCCCTCCCAAATTAAGTAGTTGCTGTTGTTAGGTGCCATTGAGTCGCAAGCATAGTGTTGTAGATAGTGACCCTATGTACCACAGCCCTAAACCCTGCTCTGTCCTGTGCCAAACGTGATAACCCTAGTCACTGAATCAATCCACCTCATAGAGGGTCTTCCCCTTGGGCACTGTCCCTCCACTCCTCCAAGCACGATGCCCCTCTGCAAGGACTGGCCCCTCCTTGCAACATGTCCAAAATATGTCAGACAAAGCCTCAGAATCCTTGCCTCCAAGGAGCAGCCTGATTTAACCCCCTCTAGGATGAACCTGTCTGTTTTCTTAGCAATCCATGGTACACTCAATAATCTTCTCGAGCACAACAGCTCAAAAACATCAATTCTCCTTCTATCCTCCCTAGTCACTATCCAACTGTCTGAAACATAACAAGTGATTACAAAAGACCATGGCATCTATCAGGAACACCTTAGTCTCCAGAGTGACACCATTGCTCTTCAGTACTTTGGAGAGATCCCTAACAGCAGACTTTTCCATCGCAATACATGTTTTAATTTCCTGGCTGCTGGTGCCAAGAGTGTTAACTGTGGAGCCAAGGAAACTAAAGCTATGAACAATCTCAATCTCTTCACCATGCATCCTGATGCTGCCAATTGGTCCAGTGGTTAGAATCTCTGTCTTCTTGATATTAATCCTCAATCCATATTGAAGGCTGCTGTGCTTGACCTTCTGCAGCAAACGCTTCAGGTCCTCCTCAGTTTCAGCAAGCAGGGTTGTGTCATCTGCATAACACAGATTGTTGATGGATCTTCCACCAATCCTGATACCACACTTCTCCTCATAGAGCGCAGCCTCCCGAATGATCTGTTCTGCATACAGTTTGCAAAGGTATGGAGATAGAACACATCCCTGGTGAACACCCTTCCCAATTTGAACCATGCAGTGTTTACTTGCTGTGTTCTGACGACTGCGTCTTGGTCCAAGCATAAGTTTAGCATTAGCACGATCAAGTATTCTGGGATTCTCATTCTTCTCAGAGTCAACCAAAGTCTGTTATGATCCACACAGTCAAACGCTTTTGCATAGCCAATGAAACACAGATAGACATTCCTCTGGTATTCCTGCTTTCAGCTAAGATCCATCTAACATTAGCTACTATATTCCTAGTACCTCGACCTGTTCTGGCAGTTCTCTACTGATGTACTGTTCCAGTGGTTTTGGATAATTTCAGTAGAATCTTGCTTGCATGTGAAATCATTGAGATTGTCCTATAATTTGCACATTCTGTTGGGCCATCCTTCTTTAGAATGGAAACAAATACAGATCTCTTCCAGTCAGTTGGCAAAGTGGTTGTTCTCTAGATTTCTTGCCACAATTTGGTGAGCATGTCCAGGGCAGCATCTATTAGCTGAAATACATCAATTGGTACACCATCTTCCTGGGGCCTTATTTTTATGCTATTTCTTTGAAAGCAGCTTGAGCTTCTTCCTTCATCATCATAGGCTATTGCTCATATGTTGTTTCATTAAATTATTTTGCGTTTGCCAATTCCTTTTGATAGTGACTCAGGATATTCTTTCCATGTTATTTTTATACTTCCTGGATCATTTAATACTTTGCGGAAAGCATCCTTGATTATAGCAACTCAAGGTTTGAATTTGTTCTTCAGTTCCTTGAGCTTAAGAAATGCTCATGGGGTTAAAGATCAGTTATGGTGAGCATGGTCTCCACTTGACATTCAGTTTTCCGTGTAAGAAATATTTTGCTTCCCTCTTTGAAAAGAAGCAGTAATCTCTGGGCTTATAACTCCCGTATCCTGTCATGTTCAATGATAACTGATATGTTTTACTGCCAGTTAAGAGAATAGATGATGACATAATTATGGCTTGTTCATTTACACTTACATTTTATTCCAATTAGGAAATGGCTATATGAGATATTTATCTTCCTCTTTGCTGTATATTTCAAGGCTACGTTAATGCATTAAAAACCATGGAAAGTGAGCGGGGGAGGGGAAGAAATGCTGAGCGAGTTCGGCCCTTTTGATTTTCTGGCTCCAGCTCCTTGCACATTTTATTGTAATATTTTACTCTGTCTTCCCGCACTGCCTTTTGAAATCTTCTGTTCAGCTCTTTAGTATCTTGAATTAGTAATTTACAAAACCACTGCTCCTACATGCTGCATAATATTCCATCATATGAATGTACCATAGTTTCTCAATCTATTTGATTGTGGTTAAACATGTGGGTTGTTTCCACTTTCTTGTGATGGTGAATAATGCTGCTATGAACACTGGTGTACAAGTCTCAACTTGGACTCAGTTCTCATGTTCTGGGGGTATATTTCAAGCAGTGGAATACATGAGTCATATAGAAGTTTTATGTTCAGCTTTTTCGAGGAAACACCAAACTGCCATCCAGAGTGGTTGTACCAATTTGTACAATCCCACCAACAATTTATAAGAGTTCCTATCTCACCATGTCCTCTCCAACGTTTATTACTTGCTGTCCTGTTCAACTTTGCCACTGCTACTAGAGTGGGATGGTATCTCACTGCAGTTTTGATTTGCATCTCTCTTTTTTTTTTAATTTAGGTTGTTTATTTTTCATTTCAATGAACATCAACAGAGATTTTGGAATTCAATTCATTCATTGCTGTACCCTTATCCCCGCACAAACCCCTCCCCCCTCCCCCCCCTTTCGCTCCTCTCCTTGAAAAGCAAAAGAAAAACTCCCTCATTGGTACACAATCCCCCCAGCACTTCCCCAAAACACACCCCATACCCCCAAATATAATCCACTCTGCAACTTTCATTCCATACTCCTACGATAAAAATAATGCCCTAAAATATAATACTCTCCCCCATAGACTTCAATGCCGTAAACATATTCCATCCAGTTTTTCTCAGTCTTACCCCCACCCCAATGCCAGCCTCATTCTAC